GAAAGGGAGAAAACCACGGGACTGTTTAGGCTAATGTCCAAGTCCGCTCCTTTTATTAATACTCTCCTCCCCATTTCATAATACAATATTGAAGCTCCATTAATGGAGTATAAAGCTAGCTAGGGAGAAGGGGGGAAGAAAGAGGGATCCCTTATTAGGAGGGAGGTCCTCCTATTTATAGAGGAAAGGGGGAGGGGTGCTCCACCCTAACGGGCCTCTTGGGCCGAAACGGGCCTCTTGGGCCTAGATGGGCCGAATGGACAGAAATGGGCCCAAAGGGCGATACAGGCCTGATAGGCTAAAATGGGCCTTACTGATTGGGCTCCGTACTACGTAAAGTCTTGGGCTCTTGAACAGTAATAGACCGGGATGATATATCCCAACACAAGTCCCCCAGTTTCTTGAGTAGTGAGCGTGCGAATCTGCTTGAGAAAATATACTCTTGCATGCGCTCTTCCTCTGTCTTGCTGGAAATTGTGTCTTCGAATAATCATAATATATGAGTGGGTGTCTGCCCCTCTGAATATACCCTGCTGGTGAGGCGCTCCCCTCCCGACGGGTTCGGGCAAGGGATGCTCTTCCCCGGACACTCTCCCCCTGGATGTATCAGGTGGGAGTAGAGGACTCTGACTCGAGCTTTCCAATGGAGAAGCGTAGAGGTCCCTGCACAATATAAGCTGGCGACGCAGAACTGGCTCGATATAATGTACATGTATGTATGGATGTATGAGAGATGATGCATGAATGTATGAATGCATGTGATGTATGAGTGCCATGTATGAGAGAGGGCATGTAAGATGTGATACAAAGCGGTGAATGTCATCGGTAACCCGGGCACGACGGCGCTGAGGGGCCGAGCGTGCTGCATAAGACGTTCGTTGCCACAGTATGGTCTTACTTTGCCGAGATATGGTCTTACTTTGCCATGGAGTGGTCTTACGTCGAACAAGAACCGGACACGAATGGCGCGGAGGGGCCGTTCGTGCTGCATAAGAGGTTCGTCGTTCCCCTGGATGGTATGGACGAGCTAAACATGAACTAGACACGATGGCGCTGAGGGGCCGATCGTGCTGCATAAGATGGTGGACGTCACCCTGGAAGGTATGGACGAGCTAAACATGAACTAGACACGATGGCGTTGAGGAGCCGATCGTGCTGCATAAGACGGTGGTCACCATCCTGGAAGGAATGGGTGAACCGACCGTGAACTGCACACGATGGCGCTGAGGAGCCGATCGTGCTGCATAAGACGGTCGTCGCCATCCTGGAGGGGATGGGCGAGCCGAACCGCAAATTGGATACGATGGCGCTGAGGGGCCGATCGTACTGCATAAGAACGTAGTCGCCATCCTGGAGGGGATGGGCGAGCCGAACCGTGAGCTAGACACGTCGGTGCTGAGGGGCCGATCGTATTGCATAAGACGGTCGTCGCCATCCTAGAGGGGATGGGTGAGCCGAACCGCAAATTGGATACGACGGCGCTGAGGGGCCGATCGTGCTGCATACGACGGCCGTCCTCACCTGCTCGTTGTACCTAGCTCATTCTCTCTTTCTCTATGGGTCTTCGAGGGTGGGGATGCTCGTCTCCAGGCCTCGGCCTCTGGAGTGGAAATGCTCGTCTCCAGGCCCTCGGGTCCTCTGGAATGGAAATGCTCGTCTCCAGGCCCTCGGGTCCTCTGGAGTGGTCCTCATCTACTCTTCGTATTTGCCCTTTATCCCGGTCCTCGGATCCTGGGCTGCGCTAAGTCCTCGTACTTTGCGTGGAACGGTTTTGATCCCTTTGGGAATTCTTTTATTTGATCCATCTTGGGATTCTTTTATTTGATCCATCTTGGGATTCTTTTATTTGATCCATCTTGGGATTCTTTTATTTGATCCATCTTGGGATTCTTTTATTTGATCCATCTTGGGATTCTTTTGTTTGTTCGTCTCGCCATCCGCCCGTCTTACCTGCCCATTTGCCCCGGTCCTTTGGATCCTGAGCTGGGCTTGGCCGCGGTTGTGATGGGGAAACGGGTTTATCCCCTTTGGGGATTCCCCAGCCCATATATAATATTATTTTTTAATTTAATATTATATATATATATATATATATTGGGCTTAGCTTTATTCCATCATCCGCTCATCTTACCTGCCCATTTGGCCCGGTCCTTAGGATCCTGAGCTGGGCACGGCCGTGATTGTGATGCGGAACGGGTTTATCTCTTTTGGAGATTCCCCGTTTCTTCGTTCCGTCATCCGCTCGTCTTACCTGCCCATTTGGCCCGGTCCTTTGGATCCTGGGCTGGGCTCGGCCGCGGTTGTGATGCGGAACGGGTTTATTTCCTTTGGAGATTCCCCGTTGCTCCTCTATTATTATTTTTTTTGTTTCTTTAGGAGTCTTAACTTTGTTCCGTCATCCGCTCGTCTTACCTGCCCCTTTGGCCCCGTCCTTTGGATCCTGGACTGGGCTCGGCCGCGATTGTGATGCGGAACGGGTTTATCTCCTTTGGAGATTCCCCATTTCTTCGTTCCTTCATCTGTTCGCTTACCTGCCCATTTGGCCCGGTCCTTTGGAACCTGAGCTGAGCTCGGCCGCGATTGTGATGAGGAACGGGTTTATCCCCTTTGGGGATTCCCCAGTGCCCCTCCGATTTTTTTTTCTTTTTTTTTGAGGGGTCTTTGAATATGATGATGGCACCATACCAGGGGGTCGGTGGCTAAATAAAGGTGTCAGTGGTAGGAGCCGATCTGAAAGAATAATCAAACGGTCCTTGTCCGCGAGGAGCGGGGACGAGGCCGATCTTCAAACATGATGATGACACCGTACCAGGGGGTCGGTTGCCATGTAATGACGTCGGCGCTGGGGCCGATCTGAAATAATCAACGGTCCTCATCCGCGAGGAGCGGGGACGAGACCGGTCTTCAAATGTGATGATGGCACCATACCAGGGGGTCGGTGGCCATGTAATGACGTTGGCGCTGGGGCCGATCTGAAATGATCAACGGTCCTCATCCGCGAGGAGCGGGGACGAGACCGGTCTTCAAATATGATGATGGCACTGTACCAGGGGGTCGGTGGCCATGTAATGATGTCGGTGCTGGGAGCCGATCTGGAATAGTCAATGGTTCTCATCCGCGAGGGGCGGGGATGAGGCCGGTCTTCAAATATGATGATGGCACCGTACCAGGGGGTCGGTGGCCATGCAATGACGTCGGCGCTGGGAGCCGATCTGGAATAGTCAACGGTCCTCATCCGCGAGGAGCGGGGACGAGGCCGGTCTTCAAATATGATGATGGCACCGTACCAGGGGGTCAGTGGCCATGTAATGACGTCGGCGCTGGGGCCGGTCTGAAATAGTCAACGGTCCTCATCCGCGAGGAGCGGGGACGAGGCCGATCTTCAAATATAATGATTGCACCGTACCAGGGGGTCGGTGGCTATGAATGATGTCGGCGCTGGGAGCCGATCTGAAAGAATAAATCAACGGTCCTCATCCGCGAGGAGCGGGGACAAGGCCAGTCTTCAAATATGATGATGGCACTGTACTAGGAGTCGGTGGCCATGAATGATGTCAGCGCTGGGAGCCGATCTGAAAGAATAAATCAACGGTCCTCATCCGTGAGGAGTGGGGACAAGGCCGGTCTTCTAATATGATAATGGCACCGTACCAGGGAGTCGGTGGCCATGAATGATGTCGGCGCTGGGAGCCGATCAGAAAGAATAAATCAATGGTCCTCATCCGCGAGGAGCGGGGACAAGGCCGGTCTTCAAGTATGATGATGGCACCGTACTAGGGGGTCGGTGGCCATGCAATGATGTCGGTGTTGGGAGCTAGTTTCTGAGCTGGATGGAATCTTCGTTCCTTCATCCGTTCCCTTACCTGCCCATTTGGCCCGGTCCTTTGGATCCTGAGCTGGGCTCGACCGCGATTGTGATGAGGAACGGGTTTATCCCCTTTGGGGATTCCCCAGTGCCCCTCTGATATTTTTTTTGAGGGGTCTTTGAATATGATAATGTATGCCGAGCCGAGAGGCCGTTCGTGATATACGTGTGTCGGTCATGAGGGGCCGATCAAGTGTTTCCATGCAACGGCTCTCACCCGCACAGTGCAGGATGATACCGGTCTTCAAGGTGTAAATACGCCGTTTCGTGAGGTCGGTCGTGATGTAAGGATGGTCTCAGGGCCCTCGGCCGCGATGGTCTCCTATGGGCCATCGGCTCCTGGGGTGGAGATGTTCGTCTTACGGTTATTTCCCGTGATGGTCTCCTCCTGGTCCTCGGCCTCTTGGGGAAGTATGAACGTCTCGTGGCCCCTTTCTTTAGCCGGTTTGGAACGTCTTCTGAACTCCTGCCGAACGTCATTTAACTTTCTACTCGTGCGCATTGAGCAACTTTGACTGCATAATTAACATGGTAACGGGCCGTTCGGCCCGACAATATATATATATAATTATAACCATCCATATGGCTTTCTTCTTTTTTCAACGCTCGCGATTGCTGGCCTATGGGTTATTGTGACCCTCGACTCGGCTCATCGTGCGGGTTTATTGGGCATGGCACCCCGGCGGCGAGGTCACTTAGCAGCCTGCCGAACGTTACATAGAAAAATTATTGGTCCGCGAGTTTGAAAACTCAGACCCACGTTGCCGCCCTACCCTCGGGAAAATGAGGTTGAGCATCTTTGGTGCCCTCGGGCCCCATAGGCCGCGTTTGGCAACAGTCACTTCGCGCCTGGTGGCGCAGATGGTACTAGGGTACGATCGTCACTCTGGCCATTGGCGCCGTGCGGACTAATGCGTAACCCCCAAATTAAAACGCATTATCGGGGCAGGGCCCTCTGGAAACGCTCGGATCGCTAATTAAGCTTATCGAGAGTGGGCGAACGAGCCCACAAAAAATTAAGTATTTAATGAAACATTGGTTTGACTGGTCATCACTAGAGCTTTGCTCCGCCTTATTTAAACACAAGTCCAGGAATAGGTACTTAGCTTGATGTGTCTTTGATTCACCATATGGGCTTGAGGCCGCTGACCCCTTTTTTAATTTGGCCAACCAACCTCCTGATGCAGCCTATATCCACATCACCTCTTTCTTTGGTCATTCATAGCTGGGTAGCGTTGGAAACCATGAGCGGCAACTTCAGGCCGTGCGTCTCACTATTGGATCTGTGCGTGACAAGCGGTGAGAAGTCGAGGATCGAGCACCCTTCCGGTTCGAGCAGTCAGGGTGTTTGTTTCCGCTGGAATCGGCCGCCGAATGCCTGAAACATCTTGGACGTCCTTCAAATCCGAGTCGCCAGGTCTGAAGAGGACCGCCGGGCCGTGTGGTGAGACGGTCGTTGTTTTAAGAACCGGACATCCAGCTTGTTAAGCGTCTGAGTCGTCTGGGGGCAGAGCTGCATTGTGGGATGGCCGTCGAGTTTCCAGGGGGCTCCGAAGCTATCTGGATTTCAGGGCCGAGCGGGTAGCAGTCCTGGATGCTGGGAGCTGCAAGGGATCCCCGGCGTACTTCCCGGTGAGGTGTGTGGGGCTGGTCCTCTAAGCCAACCTCTTTGGTTTATGGACGGCCCATTGATTTTGACTCGGTCAGATTTATTCAAACAAATTGGCTTTTCACTAATTGGCCTCACTCCTGCGGACGTTCATGGGATTTTGTTTCAGACGAGCGGCGAGTGAATTAGTGAATCCTTCCTCTCCCTGCCTCCCAAATTCCACTGACTCGTCTTCATCTCCTTCAAAATTGGCTTTTCACTAATTGGCTTTTCACTAATTGGCCTCACTCAGCTCTGCCTCCCAAATTCCATTAGAGAAAAAACCCCCTGCCATAAACCTCTTGCAAAATTATCCACGTCAAAGTCCGCCCGGTACCAACCGTAGGCCGAGCGGTAAGCAAATATCTGCCCGGCAATCCGCCAGTGGTGTTCCGGGATTGGAGGTAGCCCCCGCGTTGTGGGACCTCGGGCCGTCCGTCTACAACGTAAATAAGACAAGCGGTGGGGCGAGGACGAACTGTCCGGAATTGGCAACCTAGCTAGTGCTATGAGGCCGAGCGGCCAGAGCTGAGTGGCATCTGCAATGAAAGCCTGGAGCGGGGTCCACTAATGGAATGACGAGCTGGTATTCCGATAAAGAGGGCAAGCTGCGATGTAAGTGATGCAGGGCTGCGATCTGACTGAATGGGGTGCTGACAGGCCGGTCTGCCTTCTCATTGGACGTACCTCCCCTATGTCAAAACTGTCACAGCATGATCCCTCCGTTTAGGAACAAAGGTAACGTTCATAAGAAAAAACGCTCCAAACCAGTTAGCTTGGTTCATGGGCGGCCTTCGCTTGCCACCCGACCGCCGTCCCGCGATTGCACTGTTAGATTATTGGACTTATATTGCATGTAATATTCACAATATATTATTTATCGGGTTTAATTGTATGTTATATGCTATCTTATATTTAGGCCTAAAATTAGTGATCCTATGGATATTAATTTAAGTGGGCTAATAAGTTATCTAATAAGGTATAGGGCCCAAATGTGTAGAGACCCATGGGCTTGACCTAATCAATGATGGGCTGATTAGGGTTAAGCACTCTCTATAAATAAGGGGTTATGGTCCCTAGTTGAACACGTCATTCCGTCTTTCTGCATCTCATCGCTAGAGAGATAATTCCCGAGGGTGTGTATCAACTAGAAGACACAAACCCTAGCCTCCATCTCCCGGATCTCTAAAGGTCATCTCCCATGGAGTCAGGTACGCTTCCGCTCAGTTAATTCTCTAGATAATTTCAATATGAAGATTAAAGTATTCATGGATTTATTCCAACAATTGGTATCAGAGCCACCTTCATATTGAATTATTTGGAGTCAGTTTAACCTACCGATTCACTGAAATCAGGGTAATGCGATTTTGTGTTTATGCAATTCATTCCTGATATATTCACGTATCATATCGGTAGTTAATGAATAAACGAAACGATTGAATTTTCTGCTATTTCGTTTTTTGTGAAAATTGCCGATCGATCTTAAATTAGGGTAGTGTGATTTACTTTTATGTAATTCATTCCCCTGTAATTCCCATGCTTGAATCGATGCTGATAGATTAATTGAAACCTTAATATTGGAGTTATTTTTTTGTGATCGTGTTTTGTCCCAACTGGAGTTTCACTTCAACTCTATATGCAATTGTTGATGTGAAGCAACTACGTTGTTGTGTTCTTTTGGGTAATTTAAACATTCGGATGGTGGAATTAAACACCTTAAGGAGTATATATTTTTTTTTACGTTGTTGTGAATATATATTTTTAACGTTGTTGTGAAGCAACTACCTTAAGGATTATATTTTTTTTTTTTGAATTTCGGCAATTAGTATGGTGGAATTAAACATTCGGTTTTTTATTTTTATTTTGAGTCAGTCAAACTTGCGATTGATTTGTTGGTGAATATATATTTAGTGAATGTTAATTTATCACTTTTTATTATGATTCGTTTCCGGTTCTTTTCGGTGAATCAATTTTTGGAATTTTTCTATGGCTTTAGTAGTTAAATACTTATATGTTATTTTTTACCGGTTTTGGTAATTAAATACTTATATGTGATCACGACCAATGTCAGTTCTATTAGAATTGCATATTTGGAACTAAATTACTTTTGTTGGTGATCATGATTTACAGTTTAAAAATGTGTTATGTGTTATGGATGTATAAACTCTATTTTGTGATCGCATAAAGATTGGGTACAGGTTTTACAAATTATCGTTATACATAACACATTTGCATGTGACTCAGAATAATTCGCCCAATTTTATTTGTTCAGTTTTGATTTAATATTAGCATGTCTAATATTTGGGTTGGTTAATTGACACAACATGCTGCCAAAGTAGCCTCTCTTGTTGAAATTAATGAACTCATATATTAAGATGATTGTGTACTTTCTTATTTCATGCAGATAATAATCGGCCCAAAGGAAGGTTATTATTTGGCCGAAATTTAAGTACATTTGTGATAATAAAATTTGTGATGATTATGAAGTTTTTCATGTGAATATTAAGTCGGTCCAAAGAAAGGCTTAATATTTGACATGATTTTATTATCAAAATTTTATTATCACACCAAGAGTACCACTTGCAAGTCTAATTTATGTCCAAAGACAAGATTAGATGTTGCGCTAGATATCTTGTGGTGGGGATTGCTAATATTTAAATTTAAAATTAATTATAAAATTAATTTAAGTTCCTAAAGCATATCATTTATATTAATTTTTTTTGTTCTCTTTCAGTCAATAATTCTGCTGCTACAGTATCTGCTAATCTTAATAGCATCTCAGTGCTTAACGGCACGAATTTTAAGGAATGGAAAGAGAACGTTATGATCGTTCTCGGTTGCATGGATCTAGACCTTGCACTTCGGACTGAGAAACCCGCCGCTCTTAAGGAAAAGAGGGAGATGGAGAGGTGGGAACGCTCAAACCGCATGAGTCTAATGATCATGAAACGTGCAATTCCAGAATCATTCAGGGGCACAATGTCTGATGAGGCTGATGCCAAATCGTTGCTTGCCGAACTTGAAAAACGTTTTGCTAAAAACGAAAAGGCAGAAACTAATACTCTTTTGAGCACTCTTGTTTCCATGAAGTACAAAGGCAAAGGGAACATAAGGGAGTACATTTTGGAAATGTCTCATATTGCTTCAAAACTAAGTGCACTAAAGCTTATTTTACCTGAGGAATTGCTTGTGTATTTAGTTTTGATCTCTCTTCCTTCTCAATTTAATCAATTTAAAGTCAGTTACAACTGCATTAAGGAGAAATGGTCTCTCAATGAGCTCATTTCTCATTGTGTTCAAGAGGAAGAGAGAATAAAGCAAGATAAGACAGAAAGTGCTCATTTGGCATCTACCTCTAAGGGCAGCAAGAAAAGGAAAATTAAGGAAGCTGCAAATTCAGGGCCTCCCAGGAAGCATCATAAGGAAACTAAGGAATCTGGATGCTTCTTTTGCAAAGGGACTAATCACAAGAAAAAGAACTGCACTAAGTACCACGCCTGGCGTGCGAAAAAGGGTATGTCTCTTGCTCTTGTTTGTTCTGAGGTTAATTTGATTTCGGTACCAAAAGACACTTGGTGGGTAGATTCCGGTGCTACTACTCACATAAGTGTATCTATGCAGGGTTGCCTGAGCTGCCGAAAACCAATTGATGGTGAAAGATACATCTATGTCGGTGATGGCAAGCGGGTTGAAGTTGAGGCTATCGGTGTTTTTAGATTATTATTAAAGACTGGTTTTTATTTGGATTTGAAAGAGACATTTGTTGTGCCGTCATTTAGGCGGAATTTAATTTCTATTTCTGCATTGGACAAATTTGGTTATTCTTGTTCATTTGGAAATAGTCAGTTCAGTCTATTTCAAGATTCAAAACTTATTGGCACTGGTCTTTTATCAGTTTATGATAATCTATATTCACTTGATATAAATACCTCATATAATGAAACCTTGCATGTAAGTACTCGTGGTACTAAAAGAAAATTAACCAATGAGAATTCGTTTTCACTTTGGCACAAGCGTCTAGGACATATTTCTAGAGAAAGAATTCAGAGACTTGTGTCAGATGGAATTCTTGATTCTCTTGACTCCTCAAATTTTGATATTTGTGTTGAATGCGTTAAGGGAAAACAAACGAACAAACGGAGATTAGGTGCCGAGAGAGCTTCAGATCTATTAGAATTGATATATACGGACATTTGTGGACCATTCCCTACACCATGTAGAAATGGCCAAACATATTTTATCACATTCATAGATGATTACTCTCGTTATGGTTACCTTTATCTCATTCATGAAAAGTCTCAATCAATAGACGTGTTCAAATCTTATAAGGCCGAAGTTGAAAATCAATTAGGCAAAAGAATAAAAACCGTTAGATCTGATCGTGGTGGTGAATACTATGGTAGATATGATGGTTCCGGTGAACAACGTCCAGGGCCATTTGCTAAATACCTAGAGGAGTGTGGAATTGTTCCTCAGTACACCATGCCAGGAACTCCTAGCATGAATGGTGTTGCTGAGAGACGAAACCGTACATTGAAGGACATGGTTAGGAGTATGATTTGTCATACTACTTTACCCGATTCACTCTGGGGAGAGGCACTGAAAACTGCAGCTTACATACTTAACAGAGTTCCCACTAAAGCTACAACTAAAACCCCTTATGAAATTTGGACTGGAAAGAAACCCAGTATAAATCATTTCCATGTTTGGGGTTGTCCAGCTGAGGCAAGGCCTTATAGCCAAATGAAAAGAAATTGGACTCAAGAACAGTTAGTAGCTATTTTGTAGGATACTCTGAGAGGTCAAGAGGGTATAAGTTTTATGATCCCACTACCAGGACTGTTTTTTAGACGGGTAATGCCCGGTTCTTTGAGGATATTGAGTTTGGGGGGTGGGGAGATAAGGTTAGAGATTTTATCTTTGAGGAAGAGCATGTTACTCTTCCTTCAGTTGTCATTGAACATGATCAAGATATTTTTATTCCTAATGATGTTCAAGAAACAACTCAAGTTCATGACAATCTCGAAAACATCCCCAATCAAGTACCTGAATTTATGAATGAGGATCAAACTCAACAATCTCAAGAACCTGAGGTGCCGTTAAGGAGATCCACTCGAGAGAGGAGAAGCGCAATTCCGGATGATTATATTGTATTTCTCCAAGAACATGAGGAAAATTGGGAATTGGTGGAAGAAATAATTGTCTTCCTCCAAGAACAAGAATCAGATGTTGGTTTTGCGGAAGATGATCCAATCAACTTCCGTCAAGCCATGGAAAGTTCTAACTCTCAAGAATGGATTAATGCCATGAAAGATGAGATGAAGTCTATGAGTGACAATGACGTTTGGGAGATAGTCTCATTGCCTGAAGGTATTAAACTCATTGGTTGTAAATGGATATTTAAAATCAAGAGGGATTCAAAGGGCAATGTTACAAGGTTTAAAGCTCGACTTGTTGCTAAAGGCTACACTCAAAAGAAAGGAATTGACTATAAAGAGACTTTCTCTCCGGTATCCTCGAAAGACTCTTTTAGAACAATAATGGCATTAGTGGCACATTTTGATCTTGAGCTTCATTAGATGGATGTAAAAACTGCATTTCTCAATGGTGACATTGAGGAATCAATCTATATGGAGCAACCAGAAAACTTTGTTTCGGGAGATTCAAAGAAAATGGTTTGCAAATTAAAGAAATCCATCTATGGGCTCAAACAGGCTTCTCGTCAGTGGTATCACAAGTTTCATAAAGTCATTATATCTTTTGGTTTTCAACCAAACGTCAGTGATGATTGTATATACCACAAGTTCAGTGGGAGTAAGCATATTTTCCTGGTCTTGTATGTTGATGACATACTGCTTGCTACTAACGATATAGGCTTATTACTAAGAGATTTCTTTCAAAGAATTTTGAAATGAAAGATCTTGGTGAGGCTTCTTTTGTATTAGGAATTCAAATTCACCGAGATCGCTCCAAAGGCGTTCTTGGACTCTCACAAAAGAGCTATATCGATAAGGTTCTCAAAAGGTTTGGTATGCAAGATTGCAAACCAGGAGATACCCCAGTTTCTAAGGGAGACAAGTTTAGTCTCATGCAATGCCCTAAGAATGGTTTTGAATCTAAAGAAATGAGGAACATTCCTTATGCTTCGGCTGTAGGAAGCTTGATGTATGCCCAGGTTTGTACAAGACCTGATTTGGCATACATTGTTGGGATGTTAGGCAGATATTTGAGCAATCCGGGAATGGACCATTGGAAAGCAGCCAAAAGGGTCATGCGGTATTTACAGAGAACAAAGGAATATATGCTCACATATCGGAGACCAGATCAGCTTGAGATCATTGCGTATACCGACTCTGATTTTGCTGGATGTCAAGATAGCTTGAGATCCACTTCAGGCTACATCTATATTCTATCTGGAGGAGCTATCTCCTGGAGGAGTATCAAGCAGACTCTTACAGCTACTTCCACCATGGAAGCAGAGTTTATAGCATGTTATGAGGCATCCAATCAGGCATTATGGCTGCGAGATTTTGTTAGTGGACTACGCATAGTGGACAGCATTGAAAGACCACTTAAGCTATTGTGTGACAATAGATCAGCAGTCCTCTATGCTAAGAACAACAGTAGTTTGACCAAGGCAAAACATATTGGGGTCAAATTTAAGACTGTTAAGGAACGAGTACAAGAAGGAAAATTATCTATAGAGCACATTAGCACAAACTCCATGATTGCGGATCCGCTCACTAAAGGATGACCACTCAAAGTGTTTCATGAGCATGTTGCACAAATGGGTGTCAAATCAGTTGAGGATTATGAGTTTTAGTGGGAGTTTGTAATGTTTCTATATTTGGTTAATTGACTTGATTCAAGTTTTTTAAGGTTATTTTCTGCAGAAATAAAGTTTAAAGTTTTATGTACTCTTACAGTTATATTATTGATCTCAAGGTGGACCAGTTGGAAATAGACATTCTATTCCAGACCACACTTTATGTTATTTCCACGCTACACACCTATACTTGATCCATGTCGTTTATTATATTAATATATGTGATCATTGATGGGTCTAGTTATTCAAATATAGCAAAGACTTCTTTGATCCTATGTTGATATAATTAATGGACCGGACTGATTAAAGATGACTACTGTTTGATAGCAATATTTTGGAGCTCCTAAAGTAAACATACAATTCTGAGGATTGTGTATACTTGTGTATGTCGTCCAAGTGGGAGATTGTTAGATTATTGGACTTATATTGCATGTAATATTCACAATATATTATTTATCGGGTTTAATTGTATGTTATATGTTATCTTATATTTAGGCCCAAAATTAGTGGTCCTATGGATATTAATTTAAGTGGGCTAATAAGTTATCTAATAAGGTATAGGGCCCAAATGTGTAGAGACCCATGGGCTTGACCTAATCAATGATGGGCTGATTAGGGTTAAACACTCTCTATAAATAAGGGGTTATGGTCCCTAGTTGAACACGTCATTCCGTCTTTCTGCATCCCATCGCTAGAGAGATAATTCTCGAGGGTGTGTATCAACTAGAAGACACAAACCCTAGCCTCCATCTCCCGGATCTCTAAAGGTCATCTCCCATGGAGTCAGGTACGCTTCCGCTCAGTTAATTCTCTAGATAATTTCAATATGAAGATTAAAGTATTCATGGATTTATTCCAACATGCACTAGACGAACATCGTTTCAATAGTGTCAAGGTGCAGTGCCAAAGGCCGGGTGGTGTTGAGAATCGAGCGGCTTGTTTGAGAGCCAAACGGCCGGCCTACAAGGTTTTTGAGGTTGGTCCACCTAAACGGCGATGTGCGTCGGGCGTCGTGTTGCGCCGGCCGTGCAGCTGGGGTGGGCCCAGTGGCTTCTCATTCTGATTGGGAGAATGCCTTCCGGGCGGCCGATGCCGGTACATGCCGAGTGGTTCGTCGGTCATGCGTCCAGGTCTGGAGTTCCCTGTTCGGCCAGTTAAGTTGCCCTTCTGTGAATTTTCCTTCGTTTTTTCTTTTGTATATGGATTGATGTTTCAGTTGGGTTGTTAGGCTGCTGCTCCCCCATCAACTGCATATGTCCTCTTTTGGGGACATTCGGGATAACTTCTCATCGGGATTGTGGAGTTTCTTTTTACTAAAGCAGAGTACGCAGTTGAGGGGAGGAAGCAGGGCTTTATCTTTTCTGACCGGACGGGCCTGCTCATTCCCACCCGGTAGATAACTTGCTGCTGGAGAATTCAAAAACGCCCCCTGCCAAATAAGATTCGGGCCTAGCCGTGCGGTGCCAGGGGCTAACAGTTGAGTACCGCTCGGGCCAAAAGGCTTTGTAATATACTCCCTCCGTCCCCCTGTTATTGTCCCATTTCCTAATCACTTGGTCAACACAAATCACTCTTAATCTCTTACTTTATGTATCAAATTTTTATCAAATTTGATTCTGGTTTTTGCGACTTTGTAAATCTTTTAATGTAGTTTCTGAATATGTAATTTTCTTTTTCTAAAAATAATTTGAGTGCGGACAGGGATCTGTTTGCTTTATCGTCGGTCAAGCATCGTAAACCGCAATGGGACAATAACAGGGGGACGGAGGGAGTACTTAGGATCCAGTAGGTCAACACGTGGTCCCACCTATCCATTCAACCACCAGCCTGTCAGGTTACAGCCAGAGTGAAAAGATAGCTGTTAGGCATGGATCTATGGTTGCTAGTTGCACCACTTATCTTAAGACACGTCCCAAGGTGACTCGCATCCAGGAGGTATTCCAGGTTCTTTCATTGGGAAAAATCGTCCGGTAGTGAGATTGAATAAAATCAGTTCGTCTTTGCTTCTAAAAATTGTAAGATCCAGAACACATGAATCTTTTCGAACGTGTTCCCACGGACGGCGCCAGTGTCACGCCCCGGACCTATCCGGACACG